TAAAAGTGTTAAAATTAGTAAACCCGCTGAACCACCATCATCTGATTTGGAGATGCACAAAATTATATAACATCTGGATACTGATAGTTCGACCTATATTCGATCTAAGGTGAATGGGTTGATTGCATGATTGGTTTTCTTGTTTATCTCCATGTGTAGAAAGTCCCCGATGAAGGCATTTCTTTTATTAGGCATATATCTCTAGTGGCTCTACTATATTCAAATAACCTAAATCTAACCAAACCTACCGAAATCAAGAAAGCCATATTTTATTTAACCTCTCCTGCAATCAAATATAACTAAGGTGACAACCCATGAACACCCTCCATATTAAGGGGTATAACCGCACATTTTAACATTTTTCAAAGCATTAAAATATACTATTTTAGAGTTTATAAACCTAAGAGCAATTTATGAAGGAGAGGTAATGATTACAAATACATGCCATGAATGAAGAAAATATAATTTTTATGAAAACTATTATCAAAAATTGCCTAAAATTGTGACTCAAGTTAAATTACAAGCAAATCTCTTTTCAAATAGAACTGATTTTGGATGTGTATATGTTACGGTAAAAGTAATAAAATCGGTGATTATATAAAATTACCGGTGATTATACATAATTATACTAAATTTACTAAATATACTAAATTTGGTAAATATTATAAATTATTTCATATTTATCAAATTTACCGGTTAGTTTATAAAATCCCAAACTCATAATGGGAAATGTGACAAAAGTCCCTAACTTTATGAAAATTCGTTCAGTTTGCGCAACTTCTATCAACACGTGACAACCACGTGATTTCAGAAGTAGTTCTCATTTCGTTGCATGTAGACGTTTTTTCGCTACCTTCTCGTAAAAAATAAAACATTGAATAATGGCTGGTATGTTTGAGCGTTTTAATTTTTAATTCCAAATTACTTAATATTATGGATACTAAGAAAACAAACAGTAGTTTTCTGACGAAAGAAAGATATGATGATTTGTTAAGAAAAGTGAATAATAGTAAAAACAAAAGTAATGGAAAAAAACCGGAAGATTATCAGAGACTAAAAAGATATGATGTAATGGAAAGTAGGCAATGTTGAAAAACTCATCTTTCCCGTAAGTGAAGATGGCTCCAATGTTAAATTTTACGTGTACTTTGAAGGAATTTTTACCATTATTCATGAGGTACACTAATCAATAGGCCATGGTGGTAGAAATAGGATGTTAAAAGAACTTCAAATAAAGTACAAAAACATTACTACCGAAGAAGTCATGATTTACTTAAATTAGTGTGAAAGTTGTCAAAAAAAAAAAAAAAAAAAAAAAAAAAAAAGGATTTGTTGTTAGGCCAATGGTCTTTCAAGAGATGAACTCAAGATGCCAGGTGGACCTAATTGACATGCAGTCGCAACCAGATAATGACTTTAAGTTTATATTTGTCTATCAAGATCACTTGACGAAATTCGTACAGTTGCGTGCAATATTTTTACTATATTTAAAGCCCCTAATGTACTGCAAAGTGACAACGGTCGTGAGTTTAGAGAGAGTTAGAGAGAGACAAAATCGTAGAAGAAGCTTGTGCAATGTGGCCGGATCTGAAAACTGTGTATGGAAAACCTAGGCACAGTCAGACTCAAGGTTCGGTTGAACGTACAAACCAGGATATTGAAAATATGCCAAGGCTTGGTTGGAAAGCAATCACACCAGTAAATGGTCCGAAGGGTAAATGGTCCGTTTTACGCAACTTATGAAAAATAGAGCATTTCATGAAGGCATTAAGTGTTCTCCTTATGAAGCAATGTTTGCGGACGCCTGCGAAAATTTGGCTTTGAAAACGTCTTCGTTCACCGAATGACTCTATCGAAACATCTTAGAACTGAAGAAGAGCTTCAGGCTTTAATAGAGGCAGTTAATAATGTCTCTGAAAACACCAATAGCGAAATAGAAAATGTTTCTAATATGGACAATAGCGATCTATCTCAAAATGAACCTCCATCTGAAGTTCATTTTAAGACTCAGAAAGAGAATGAAGCAGCGGTCGCTCTAATCCAGACAGATATTTTATGGAGGCAAGAGCAACTAAGAAAACATAGAATGAGTGCTAAAGAAGGTTTAGAATTACAAGCAAAGAAAATGTTGAATGTTTCAAATCTTAGGTTTCCTGCTGATAAAGTTGGTGGCACAGTGAAACTATGAATACCAGACGTAGACAGAGCAAGAAGTGATCCCCGAAATTTATTAACGGTGATATTAGAAGTTCAAAATGAAGAGTTTTATCAGTTAGAAACGACACAAAGAAGACTTTCACCGATGTATACCAGAAATCGATTCACAATTTATGAAAAAAAATTTAATTTGCTTGACGATGTTCCAGATCTAGCAATATCACTTCGAGAATGCGTTAGAAAGACATCTCTATCTGGAGGTCAGGGTATCAGCGATGTGTTTAAGGGACAATGCGGTCTGACAAGTGCAAATGTAAAAAAATCTGGCAAATTCGTAATTCTAATTGTCGTAATAGTCTAAATGTTTAAATAAAAAAAAATATTTAGTCGTAAATAGATTAACGTTATTATTTTTTTTAGGGTTTTGTTTTTAGTAAACATTTTTTTAATTTTTTGCAACTGTTTTAAATCATGTAAAGATTTTTACTTCCTTGTACGAAGTAAAAAGGAAGTATTGTAATCGCGAAAAGTTTCAGGCAGCATATTTCAACGAAAATATCCATTTTGACCGCTATCGAATGCAATTTAACGATGTTTTTTGTGTGATATCTGTACGTAAGGACAGAATAAAAGACTCTTTTCCTCCAAAAAAATTATAAAACTGCTTTAAAATTAATTCTGAAGAGAATTTTTTGTGGCGTCTGTACGAACGTATTTACGTACGTACGTACGTACGTATCTCGCATAACTCAAAAACGAGTAGCCTCAGAACGTTGAAATTTTGTATATAGGACTGCTATAACATGTAGATGTGCACCTCGTATTTTGGTTGAAATCGGCCGCACCAAACGTATATAAATTTATATATATATCCACTCTGTTACCCGACTCCAGTGATCTCAGTTTCTTTTACTTCTTATATTGTTTGTAAATTGTACATTTTTTGCTTTAAAAAATGATTGAATTATGTTGTTCCTATCTTCCGGTTAAGGTTTTTATGCCTTTAGTAAATCTGTGTGCAATATTTGTAGGGATTATCAACAATTTTAAAAGTTGTTTAAGTGCCGCTAAGTCTACTTTAATATTTATCATAGCGGCCATTGATTTGTTTACATTTGAAAACAGCAAGAATAGCGAATGGAAGTTTGTTGCCAATCTAGAAAACTTAGCTTCGCAACAACAAAGATAACGCCTTCATTTATTATTATTTAAATCATGCTTAATCCTTTCTGGAATTTTTTCGAGGAAATAAGTGTTAAGATTTACTTCGTAATTTTTAATATAGATATTTTGAGTTTTTATGTATTTTTGCCTTCTCGCGAAGTGAGAACGAATTAATTGAATGAGAAATACTCAATCGTCTGTGAAAAAACTGTTTCTTTTTTTGTTTCGTTTGCTTGATTTCTTTTATACATCTTTTAGATTTATTATAGTATTTGAGTGGCAACGATTAGGCAATTCTTCAAATGATAGAAATTTTATGCATTCTGAGTTATAATATGGAGGAAATGTGACGCAGTGAACCTAGCGCCAGATTGTCGCTATGCTAAACAATTATAGTGAATTTTAAAGAGTGCATTTATTCTGTTGTGGTTTATGCGTTGTCGGCGAAGTAGATTTAATTCAATCCAATAAGTTTAAATGAAATGCAAGAAAAAATGCGTATAATTTAATATTCCGTACAAGGAAGTCATTTGGTGTACACATCATGACTTCCTGTAGTCCGGCCCTTATTCAATTTCGTAGGTAAATTTGTGACTAAAATAAACCATTATTGACTTTTAATTAAAATAAAATATAATCAAATATAATTTAATTGAAAATTAAATATAAATTATATTAGACTGTAATGTCATAATGTCTAATATGTTAAATAAGTAACTTAAAATATTTAGTAATTCGTAGTAATAGCATTCAAATTATGAAAAAAATTTTTTTTTCCTCTAGAATAGGCTTAATTGTTTTTATATGTAACTGCAATTTTTTTTTTTTTTTTTTTTTTTTTTTTTGTGCAACTGTTTTGTACAAGCTCATGTAAATTGATTTTTTTTTTCATTCACAACACCTGTCAGGCCTTATTCAAATTTCGTTCAAGCTAAATAATGTATGGACCAAAAAACCATTTATTGCTTTTTATTGTAAAATATAAAATATTTAATTCGTGGTCTCTTATGCCATATTGTCAACCAAAAAAATCTTCTGAGTAGTAACTACTAAAAAAAAAAAAACCTGCACTCTTCTACGGGCCCAATAAGTCATGATATTTATCACATTTCCATTATGAGTTGGATATTTTCCAAATTTGCGGTGATTATGATAATAAGTGCAATGTAAAAATCTGGCAAGCTTTGTAATTCTAAAAACAATTGTAGTCTAAGAAGGAAACTTACATGTAAATGCAAATAAATGAATTTTTCCATAGAATGGGTTTGGTTTTGTTTCCACAAATAATCCGAATTTATTACCTTTCCATCGAGTTGGGGATTTTATAACAACGGTAAATTGATAATATGAAATAATTTATATTTACCAAATTCAGTGGTGATTATATATAATCATCGGTAATTTTATATAATCACCGATTTATCATTTTTACTGTAGGATATACATTAAAAATAGCGATATTAAAAATAAAGCATTCAAAATCTTCATCATTTATTGAAAATATTTATCAACCGCACTAATTACAAATTAAAGAAAGCTTCAAGTACTATCCATGATTTTTTTTCTTTTCGATAATACATACAATAAAATTTTATGATAAATAACTTTGTTCTTTTAGGAAAGAGATTAACGGTTAAATTTATTATAAATCATCAAAAATATATTTATTTTTTACTTACTTTTTTCACCGGTAGCTAAAAGCATTAATATGCAATCTTCTTTGCTAGAATACTGAATATTTTCGGAATTTGAGTTCATATTCAAATAAATGTATGAGTCTATCGCACTCTTTGAACTCCAAATAAGAACAGACTTCCAATAACACTTTTTCTTTAATTTCTGGTGTTGTTGATTTAAGCTATAATGACTGAGTGCTAAGAGCTGTTTAAATTCAGTAACATATGGTTCATCTTCACGTTGTGATAAACAAAAAAAAAAAATTAGCCCAAATGTGGCTATTAATCTCGATGAAATGAAAACTTATTACCAGCTACGTGAAATATGACGTCACTCTTCAACGAGAAATAATTTTAGAGACTTTATTGATTGGTTTTAGTTTTTTTTTTTTTTTTCGGGGGGGTGGCAATGTTATCTGTATTTCATGAATTTGTTTTTGAGTTGTAGCTTCCGCTTGGTTTCAGATGTAAAGATTAATAAATTTGAATTTAAGTGGAAGACTTGGAATCTTTTTTTAGAGTTTGACACTTGCCTCAGTTCTCAGCAGGGAAATATTTGTGATTGGAGTCTATTATATTATTTCCTTCTTTTTTGGAACATTTGGCGCCCTCGACAGGATTGGATGACTGTAAGTAAACATTGTTCTGAACGGAATTATATTGATCAAGGATCAAGGATCAAGGAAGTTCGTGTTACGGAGTTCTTAGGCATATACGCCTTTACCTCCACATCATCTGAAGAATAAAATGTCATCATCAAAAGAAGGAATTTTCTAATACGGTAAAAATTTTGAATTGTATTGTATTTTTACTACGAATGTTTTTTTAAAAGGCTAATATTCTATAAGCGGGGTAAGTTGGCACCAAATTATTTTAGTCTTCAAAATTTGGCGAATTTTCTGGGCGGCAATGAAAGCACTAAGATGTGATTTTTAACGTAAAAAGAATAATAACTTTTAAGTTTTGCAGTAGTGAAACGCCGAGTCCTATCTATGTAATTCATCGTAAAATAGTAGAATGAATAATTCTTAAATAAATATATACACTTATCAGATCAGAGCACTGCGAAGTGAGTTTTAAACAGAATTATGTAAACAGACAGAATTTGCTATTCTGTTTAACGTAAACAGAATAGCAAATTTTTGTTTACAGTGGTGAACAGCAATTATTATGTGCAAACAGATTGAGCTGTTTACATTTGCTAAAAACGAAATAAAGATTTTTTTTTATTTATTTAAAATGTGGATTGACGTTATTTGTGAAACGAAGTTGTAAAAATAAAGGTTAATTGGAGTCAGAGCCATAAGTGTAGCCAGAAGTTTTTTTTAATATTAATTTTGAAATACTGGTTTGTTTTTAAGTTTATGTTTAATATTATAGTTCATGTTTCTTCAACTTCTTGGGAAACTACAAGACTGACTCGAACCGAGAGCTTACTAAAGATATGTTAATAATTGTGTAAGTAGACAGGATACAGACGAAGGGTATACAAAACCCTTTATTTTTCTCTATACAAGAACTTCCGTACTTCGGAATACAAGACCTCACTCGGGGTCTAACGTAAAAGATATCAAAAAATAAAACTAACTCTAATTTAACTCAGAATAAGATTGGCCTTATAATAACAGAAAGCGTATGTAGCACAGAGACTGTGAACACTACAATACGTTTAATTTATCAAGAGGATTTAAAACCTCTGGCCTGGAAGGCAACGTAGCAACTGCGTAACTCTAAGTAGCGGCCTGCTGACTCACTGCTTCCTCTCTTTTGCTTGGCAAAAAAAGGCCACACTTAAATACTTGGCGTCGCCAGACAAACTTTGCATAAACTCCTTAACGCTTTATAATTTGGCCGGAAAGTAGAAAATAAGAAGTGATAGTAAAGATTTAAAATAAAAATAAACGTTAGTAAAACTTAAGATCCTTACATACTTCCGCCAGAGTTAATTAGTTTGAAACTGAGGTCTAAAACGACCTTGTTGAAAACTTTTAGCTCTAGAATCTAACGCGAGGCCAACTTTTACAAAAAACTTCGCTAGAACTAGAAAAATTTAAAAGAAAGAAAAGATTTGTTACAATAGCAGCTCCCGGAATACAACAATTTTTTTTTACTGTACTGCATCAAAACAGGAGCTTTTTAATTCTGGTTCCTTCCAGAGATTGGAAGGAAAACTAGTTAATGAAATGTTACAGAATGAAATGGCAATAACATATATAATATACTTCTCTTAACATTCTTATTTCATTCATGATATTTTAATTCTCTCCCGTGCTCTCTGACATGTGTGTTGTAAAACCCAAACACGAACGTGTTTCTGTTCTATGTGTGTCAACAATTCCTCCTACAATCAAACACTAAAGTGTTAAAATTCAACATAGAGACTCTTAACCACCCTAATTTCAACTCTAAACCTGAGGTACTATTCTGAAAAGTGGCTAACTCTAAAGTGTAGCGTCAGAGAGCCCTAACTACATCATTCAACCTTACCATATTCCCATGATTTATCTTTTCAGTCACAGAATAACAAAATTTTTTAACATACTTCACTTTTCCCTATCCGGATTTCTTACTTCAAATAACAGTGCACATGGATATTAAGACATTAAATGGCCGTTAATTTCACATTTGAAAACATACTAGTAGTACATTGTTAATTCTATTCTTTCAAAGCAGTGCCAATTCTTTCACATTGAAAAATACTATTTCAAAAAGTCTTTCAGACTAAAACTTCTCTGCTAAAGGTTTTAATAAAATTTATACAATAAACTTTACAATATTAAGTCTTTACAAAAATATTATACATCAACTTAGTTTTTTCGAGAGTAATTGAAAAACATAATAGAAAATCGTCACAAATCATTCTAGCCCTTTGGCGATAAAGGTGACCCATGAGGTAAACTTCTTAAATCTGCCACT